AAATGATCCTGTCTATGAAATGTTTGTCGGTAAAATAATTGTCGGTAAAATGGTTGTCGGTGAAATGAATGCGACCCAAATTATGTACGGTACGGTGTCATTAAAAGTTTATTATTAGATTTTTGACGATCATTTTGATTTACCTATTCAATTGGAATTTTTGTCAAAATTTAATATTCGATAACATTCGTTTGAATTAATATTTAAACGAAATACAAATACAAATAAATACACAATGACTTGAAGAAATATGACATCTCTCTTTTTTGAAAAAAACACCGAGGAAAAAAATTTTACTATTGAAAAACAACTTGGAAATTAACCTAGTGTGAACGATCTTTCTAATTTTAATAGGAAATTTATTATAAAGACGAAAGTTTAATTATAGTACTGTATTTTAATACCGTAAAATCTCTAATAATAAACTTGAAAGATGATCCTACTTTTGCTATTTTCATTTTATATGATACCTACCGTACATAATTTTGATTTAATTAGTCGATGAAACACCCCGATGTAACACGACATTTTATATAAATAAATCCGGCTAATTATAGATAGTTGAGATGCAATGTGTGGTAAATTTAATAATTTAGGGATAATAATGAGTTTAAATTTTAACGAATATTTTTTTTTATTTTTTTTGAAATAAATACTAAATTATGGTTTTTAAAATATATCATAAATTACTTCAGCTATGTTTCATTTTCATTTTAAGAGTTGAGTCATTTACGCCTAAGGAACGCTTTGCTCATTCATCTGTCCTTGTTGGAAATAAGATATATTTTTTTGGTGGAGATATTGGATCTCATAATCCTTCAAATGATGTATTTTATCTTGATGTGTCTCAACAATTTGATACGTTGAATCCGCCATGGACAGATCTTTCATTAAATTCAGGAATAGGATTTAGATGCTCTTGGTCGACTGCTGTTGCATTAAATGATGATAATGATAACCCGACTATATACCTTATTGGAGGAGTAAACTTAAATCAAAATGGTGAAGATGCCTTTACCTCACTAGCACACGCATTTAATCTAAGCTTCGGGAAATGGTATGTACCTGCAATTCCAGGAACCGAATCATTGAGGCGAAGAGATATTCAAGCTGTCGCTGATGATACTGGAAAAATTTATGTTTTTGGTGGACTTGTTGATGGACAAACAGGATCAAAAACTTATCAATATTTCAATGATATGATAATAATAAATACTAATGATTTAACGTTATCATATGATTCGATTGCCAATTCTCCTTTAAAACGATATGTATATACTGCAACATTTTTACCTAATGGTACGATTGTATATATTGGGGGTTGGGAAGTACCTGATTATGATAAAAAAGGGAGGAATGTAGATATAAACAAAATTAACCTTTATGATACAAAACATAATAAGTGGTCAGTGACTGTAAGTATTTAGGTAATTATGTTAATTAATTTGCTTAAAACAATTAATTAAATTTAAAATTAAAATTTTTTAAGCAAGCAAAAAGTACTGATCAAATTGATTCCCGTTATGGTCATTCAGCCGTATTAGGTAGGTATAGCTTATTACCATTTTTTATAGTGTTTGACATTTATTAACATATAATTATAGTTCAAGATGAAAAGATAATTATTTATGGTGGGATGAAAGGTGAATCTGACCGTAACCAAATTAAAGCCATACCACATTTGGCTGTTTTAAATACTCAAACGACTCCGTTTGAATGGACCTTACCGCACGTGTCAACAAACATCGATGAATTTCCATCACTTGCGTATCATATAGCGCATCTAGTTGAAAATTATATGATTGTTGCTTTTGGTAAGTTTTCCTTATACGTAATATTTATTATTTCTATTTTGACATAATCTAATAAATAATTTATTGAATTATACAGGTCGTCTTACTCATCTAGACGGATTAGCAAATAGTACTTCGAAAAGAATTTATTTGTTGGATACAACAAAATATACTTGGGTTGATAAATTTGAACCTGGAAGTACACCTACAAGTACAAGTTTATCGAAATCTCCTTCAAAAACTACAACGGCTTCTTCCAATACATCAAATACTATAAATGTTGTAATTGGTACAATAAGCGGAATTTGCGGTACCGCAATTTTAATGACAATTGGATTTCTTGGCTATATACGGTATCAAAAGCGAAATCATAATATTTGCCAAAATTTTAGTTCTAATTAATGTTATAAATCAAATATCAATTTATTTGTGGTAAATTGACCACTGCTCTTCGTTTCTTATTTTTCTGCATTGTATATTATGTAACTTTGAGAATTTGGCTTTTAATAAATATATATTTTAAAAAGAAAATTTGATGTTTGCATACTTAATAAATCTTTTAAACATGAACTTAATAATGTTGTTGAAATTATTTGATATTCTCTTCAGTTGGATCAGAAAATAAATAAATATTTACAATTCTAGTAATATTTTGATCATCTTGGACTTTTAGGTACATTTCTCAATGAAGCAAGAACTTATCATTCAAAATATTATCTTTGTGATTGTTGCTTGGTTGATACCTTTCAGTGACTTGTTTCTAAATAACTCTGAAAGTTTGTGAGAGACTTATTAATAATAATAAAGAAACTAGTACAAATCTTTAATTATGTTAGAATCGAAATTTATTTGTCCTCTTAACGATTTGAATTTAGAAATTTTGGATCCGGATGAAAAGATTCGAATCGGATAAATAGGATTTAACATTCTCATGCTTTCCTTAATTTCTCTGCATTTACCAACACCATCTAAAAAATTTTTAACTTACTATTTTACTTACCAAATCTTAATTTTCTTGTCATATTTTTTTTCGATATAAAAAAAAATAAAGATTATACATGACAAATGTCTTATCCGTATTCTAGTAATTTAACAAACAACATTCCTTTTCTTACGAAGTGATCGCGAAAGAAGTGAAAGACAAAGAAAAATAATATAATCATCTGAAGCGAACAAACCTAAAATAACCCCCAAAAAAAATAAATGCGACCCGAAGCGTAAATAACAAAATTACTACATGCTATTTCAAGAATATTAACCAGTAAAAAGATTATTTTTGTGAACATTTTTACATTGATCCTGCTCCGTAGAAGGATGATGATCACTTTAATTAAATACAAACGAAACGATATCACATCCATAATATTTAATCTAATTATTTTAGTTGTATTGACGTCTTGTTAGTTATTTCATTTTCAACTTCTACCGCGCCACTTCTAAGTGATAAATGCGTAACTTTATAGACTGACTATTTGGCAAAGATTTAAAATTGTTAAAATACTTCGATCCTATCCTATCAAATATTTTATATTAGAGATACAAATTTAAAATGAATGAATAATACACAAAAAATTTAATGTAAATATTAAAAACTTCAATTATTGATAAGTTAATTTCTTATATACAGAAGTTCCTTTTCAAAATCTTGACGACGTCTGTCCTTCACAAGCATTTAAATGATGTTTACTATCAGAAGGATCCAGACCATAATTACACCGAAATTATAGATATCCGAATCTAATCCTCATTCTTGAGCGATATTCTAATATAGAAATTTAAATCAAGAATAATCGATAATGGAATCGAACTGATAATGATGATGTAAATTGTAGAAACACACTAATTACTAAAAGAAATCGGTAAAGCGTAATAGAATAACTATACAAATACTTGAAAATACTCCAGAAGGTTAAGTCATGAAATTCCTTGTTCATTGATCAAAAGTTTGGATTAAACAAGGAAAAAGCTTAATTACAGTAAAGATGAATAACTCAGATTCAAATGAAATGACAATATAATAATCAAATAACGGATTATTCATTTTTATATTATTCTTACATTTAATTGTGACTTTTATTCAATTATTTAAATCTGAGTTGAATATAAAAGAACAGTCAACATATTCAAAGATAATTTTGTAATTTATTATTAACGTGAAATAACTAAATTTCGAAGAACGATAAAAAATCAATAGGGAAATACAATGTATGTAAATAAAATTCGATCTTTATAGTTTTATAGTATAATTGCTAATTCTATTATGCAAATAAAATTGCTACTTGACTAATCTCGTTTAATAGCATCTTCAATGCTAAGAAGTTTCAAAATTTTGCGTTTCATTTCAGGCCAGTCGTCCATATTCCAATTACCTTTTTTAATGGCTTCTTTTATATATCTCCGAGCCATTTCAACATCTACATGATAACGTCTAAAAGCATAACATACAAAAGGAAAATGTTGAAAAATGCCATAATTTTTTTTTTTAATAACGAAATGTACTTACATTACTTCAGGAAACCAAGTTCTCAACCGTCTTTGACGAGGGAATAAGTAAAAAAGTTCAATGTTTGCTATAACTTCAGCTTTTTGTGCTAAATACAGAGCTCTATCGTTATCTTTTTCAATTGCCATATTAAGTAGACCAATAAATAAGTTCATTAAATATATAACTACTACAATCGAAAAATCAGTCATTAAATAAATAACATCATATTTTCTGACTTTTGGTGTCCAAAGCAATAATGAATCTTGATTTCCTAAAAAAAAAAATAAATAAATAAATTAATAAATAATAAATAGTAACTTAATAATTATCCTTACTACGTAAAAAATTACCGGTTAAGAATAAGAACATTGCAAGAAGAGAAGTGGGATATGAATAAAATAAATTTGTATTTTCATCAGGGGTTTGAACAAGAGTTTGTTTTAAAGCTTTTCCATTTTCATCAGTTTGATGAAAAGTTTTAGAAATAGTCCATGGGTTATTTGGATCGCTTGGATCTTGTGTCGTTAATGAATCCGAAAAATCACGAGGATGTAAAAGTAAAAAGAATGCATGTGCAACACTTGCGAGAATAATTGCCAATATAACTAAAAAAAAAAATTACACGCTTAGCCACTCCAAAAATTATTGCGAAATAAACACCAAAGGATTCAAATACTCTAAAGAAGAGTAAAAATTTTATATCTAAAAATAAACATGGGACTGATAGTGCCCAGTAAGGTGCACTCTGATGTTTTATACAATAGATCGATACAAGAAAAGCAGGAAGGTATGCACATAAATCTTATTAAAATAAAATTGCTTAAAGTTTAGTAATCTAAAATCAACATAATTTCATTCCGTTATAAATAATTGAAAATTATATTTACCAAACCAATTCACAATGCGACTAAAATAATTTTTAGGTTCCAAATAAATTGTCTTAACTCAGATGCAAGATATAAAAATCCAATACCTATTGAGATTTGGTAAAGCTTATTACGAATTTCTTGCGTAATAAAATTTGAGGGGTAAGAAGCAACTGTGAAGCATAAAAGAAAACTATAAATTTAAACCAAATGACAAAATAACATTTCCTTCCTAACTATTTCCATTTGAAATCAATGATTGCTTCCCCATTCCAATTTGTATAGAAATCTTTTTTACATGTATCAACAAAAACACTTGATTGAGGTTTAAATATTTCCTTCAACCAATTGTATTCTAAAGGATAGCAAGAATAATTTACATAAGGAACTACAAGAGTAATGATTTGCTTAACTTTACTTTCTATTTCGAATATTTTATAACAATATGAATAAAATATAGCAATTATCTTCGATGATACCGATCTCAAGAAAATTAATAATATTGATATTACCGATGTAAATCTCGACAATATCAACAACATTAATATCAACAGCGTTGACATCAGTAATGCCGATATAGTGTAAAGATACAAAGGAGCATTGTAAAGTATAAATAATATCGAAAATACAAAAATAATACCAAGTACATATGCACAGTATTCACCAATCTTTCTGATATGTTTGGACGTTCCTAACTCGATTTCGATTTCTTCATTAAAGGTATAAAAATGATATAAATCGCCATTTAGATAGTTACTGTCAATAATATTTTCGGAAGAAGGATCTAAGATCATGAACATTTCAGAATTAAATTTTGATATGTAATCAGGATAAGTTGTCATAGATAATGTAATAATATTGAGAAATTTGAGATTTTTTTTTGGATCTTTAACAAGTTTTGTGCATTTACTATAAATCGAATTTATATAATTAGTTGATTTTTGATTGATTAATTATGGTAATAAAGTAGATCCATATTTTGCAAGACATCTATCGTCCCCGATAATACTTTCTAACCATTCACCAAATAAAGGTACAAAAGAATTCTCTTTATGCTCAAAAAAAAGCTTCAACATCCATCATTGGTAATCCAGATTCAAAATTTTCAGCATTAAAGTTTTCATTGTCATTAAAGTAGAAATACTTAATTTTAATACTTTTATCATATTTGTATATTGTTATGCATCGAAATTCCGGTCTAAAATCATTACACATAGTTTGATGTAATGCTAATTCATTATTATCAAGAATTCTCCAATAACGAACAATTTGGTCCAAACCTTCCAATTCTTTTAATTCTGTCGAACATAATTCTTCACTTGTATCTGAGGGTAGCTCGTGAATTGAAAGTTTCTTGTTTTTCTGAACTATTCTCCATTTATATTTTAGATTATTGAAATTTAAATCTACAGGTTCATCTTATGTTTCATCTATTTTATCTTGATTTGAAACTAAAGTTTTAATATTTTCCACATCAGGAAAAGCCAAAGTATCATTGCGTTGACTTTCGGAGGGTTGATTCAAGTAAGTATTCCAACCAACAATAAAATCATCATCTATATGGTTTGCTTCAAACCATTCATGCCAATTAAATTTGGTTAAATTAAATACTTGAGATTCTACCATCGACGAATCCAATTGCACTCCTCGATTCTGAATTATACTCAAATAGAATGATACCATTCTCAATATTGTCATCATTAAAAATCTTTGATCCCTTGACGGATTGTTTATTGTCATCAGTTGTGTGATATAATCTTAAATCTTGCTTCTCGTCTTTCTTGGGCAAATTAAAAGCCAAAGATAGTAATTACTTAATATTTTAATTGAAACTTCCCCTTCGATTCGAATATTTCGAATCGGAAAATGATTTTCTTTTGAAAATATCGAAATTTCATTGCGATATTTTACCAATATTAAATTTCCTCTCATTGTAACATTTTCAACTTGGTTTGTCGTGAATAACTAAATTCGAATTGAAATGCATCCAAGTCCCATTGAAATAAATAGTTTGAAGAAATGGCCCATATCTTATTATCCTCGATCATTACTTCGCGTACTTTATCTGAATAGATCTTTCGTGATGAAATTAAAATTAATTCATCACCTATGTGTGAATAAACTAATATTTTGAAGTCATTTGTAAATAATACAATATTTCCATCATTTTTGAAATAAAATGAACGGTATCTAATTTTACGCAATGAACGAGGCTTGATTGGTTGTTTTTTTTGACATTTGCAAGGTTTTTATGTTATGTTTACATACATATAAAACAACTTTATCATCATTTACTTTGATTTCATTTAATATTTCATCATAAGGTAATTTACAAACAGTCACTTCAGGGTCTCGTTTAAGTGAAATCCATTTAAGATCTTCCGTGCTGACAATCCATCCTTCAAATGAATGATCTTCTCTGTTATACGTGATGACATATTTACCATTGGGAGCTACTGCTACCAATAACTTTTGTCTTCCATAATGATTTATATCATTTATATTAATGGATATCTCATGACTTTTGTTATTTGAATTCATGAATAAATAAAATTCGAAATGGTTTTAATTCGTGATACCCTCTCGTATAAGTTTGCTATGCGTAAGTATTAGGAATTTTATTAAATAATAAATATGTAAAGATTATATTTATTTATATAATTATTATTGTCAAGTGACTAAATTTGTTTTACAGCCTAACTAAAAAAAAAAAAATTATTTTCAAAAAGGCAATTGTTACATGTGATCATAAAAATTTTTGTTGAGCATTACGAAATATTCCGTCATATTTTTTTCCTTGTTATATTTTTATTTATACTCACATGATACAGGCAAATTCTTTTTTTAATCAAAAAAGTATTAAAATTGTGTCGATTCTTTTCATATTAAAAAAATTTGTGTAACCATTTACTATAATCTTATTAAGAAATTGATAGATCATGATGTGCTCAACCATTGATTTTCTTTTTATGCGATTACTTTTTTTTAGGTAGTTTTTTTTTTTAAAAAAAAAAATGTTAAAAGAACAAAAGTTTTTCCTCATTCCCACTATACTGCTTATTACTAGTTACATGTTTTACGATCAACAATAAATCTGTTTAATTTAATATTTTTTAAATAAGTAATACAGATATAGATCTTCAAAATAAATATAGTTAGATTTCTTTTTTGTATTATGTAGATTGATCTAATCTAATTTTTGTCATTTAATAAAAAAAAAAAAATTGAATAAAAAAAATTTTTTTTTATTTATTAATAATAAATTTTATAATAAACACTTCCTTTTGCATACTCACACTCCTTTAAAAACCTTTTTTTTTGTATTATTATTTTAAGGTTCAGTTAACTTTTGAACAGAAAGCACAAGCAATTATATTGCTTAAAAACAGCTTTGCTTCAAGAGAAATTGCCACCAAAGTTGATTGTAAAAGCCATACAACCATTTCAAGACTCAAAAAAAAAGTATGAAGAGACTGGTAAAGTTGAAAACAAACCTGGTTCAGGTCGTCCAAAAAAACTGAATGAGCGAGATGAACGTTTTCTTATAAAACATTTAATGACAAAGGAATGTACAACTGCGGTCCAATTCCAAAACTTCTGATAATATTGAAGTTAGCACTAATACTATTCATAGAGCTTTGAAAAGAAATGGTTTGGTAGCTCAAGTAAAGCGTAAAATGCCATTATTATCAAAAAAACATCATGAAAAATGCCTTAATTTTGCAAAAGATATAAGGAATAGATAATAAATGAATAGAGTAAGATTGTATAATCAGATAAGTTCAAATTTCAAATATTTAATTCAGATAAACGTAAGTATTATTAGAAAAAAATAGGAGAACCTCTTCAAGATACTCATATTAAACCTACTGTTAAGTTTAGTGGTAGAAGTATTTTTGTATGAGGATGTTTTACATCTTGTGATATAGGTTACCTTTATTAAATAGATGGTAAGCTTGATGCAGAACTTTATCATAAGATTTAAAATGAAGACTTTATGGAGACTTTGCAATACTATGAATTAAGTACTAATAATATTATCTTTATGCAAGATAATGACCCTAAACATACTGCTATACTAACTAAAAAATGGTTTAAAGATAATAATGTAGAGCTTTTACTTTGGCTATCACAATCTCCTAACTTGAATCTAATTGAACACTTGTGAAATAATATGAATTGTTATATTAGAACATTAGATATTGAAATTAGAGAGAAGGATATGTTATGAGAGCAAATTCATAAGATATGAGAAGAAACTGCATTAGAAACATATACCAAATTGATAGAATCAATACCAGAAAAAATAAATGATATAATTAAAGCAAAAGGTGATTATACTCAATGGTAAGAATATTTAGTAAAATTTTTAATTGAGATTAATTTAGTTTTTTTTAAAAAAATTTAATAAACTTGTTATATTCGCAAAAGCGTCATATTAAACGCACTATTATTTAATAAAGAATCACGTGATAAAAAATTTTTCTGATTTATCAAGTATATTAAAATTGATGTATTATAAAGATCTTATATTATATTATATATTTAATAAATATTCAAATAATCAGATTTTGTTATTAATCATAAAACACATGATTAATAATAAGCAGTATAGTAATGCATTTTTTTGGAAACCACTATATCATAAAAAATTTAGTAGTGATCTAGAATTAAACAAATCGATCAATTAGTTGGTAAGAATTCAATTTTAATTATATATCTCTAATTTTGGTAGAAATAATCTAAAGAAATATGAAGAAATGGAAAATTATAAGATATGAAAAAAGATTACTCTTAATGGATCTCAGAATGTTCTGGTTCAAATTAATAATAAGCCATAAGTATTTTAGAATTTAAAATGTGGTATTTGTAATCAATAATATATTTTTTTATTATTTATTTAGTATAATATTATATGATAAATTATTACTTATTACTATTTCCTCTTTTTATAAAATAACAAAACATTTTTTTTTACACACCATATAATCAAAAATTCTTTATTTTACATTTCTTGATTCTGGCCAAAATTATAATTAGGTTTGTTAACTAGAGGTTGAAATTAGTTAATTTTTAATTAGTTAATTAATTGGTTAAAGATTTTTTAACTGGTTAAAATAGATGAATTTAAATTTAGTAAAAATTCAATTCCAGCCTGAATTAAGATTTTTTATAATTGCAAATTATTATCTAACTCTAGCCAAATTTATAATATTGGTCAAAGTTAATTTTAACTGGTTAATTAACAGGTTAACAAATATTTTCACTGGTTATTAACTAGTTAAAGAATTTTTGTCCAATTTTAACCTCTATTGTTAATTCTACAATTTATCTAAAAGCAAAATATCTTAAATAAAGCAAGATTTTTTAATATGAAGATGTTACGCATTTTATCTAAAAGCAAAATATTTTGAATAAAGCAAGATTTTTTAATGTAAAGATGCTATGCATTTTGATATACATAAGGATGAGAATAGTATCAGTTCTAAATTTAGTTCTACTTCAACCCTTCTTAAGTAAATTAATAATTTGAGCATTAAGTTAAATTTATGCTAATAAAACATCATGTGATGATCAATTTATTGACTGGTTATCAAACAAATTCAGATTAAATACTTATTACAAAAAATTTTTCTGAGCATAAATAAATAAGGAATATCTCTTAGTAGCTTTATATACAAACGCTGATGGGTCACATAAATTACCTTTTCTTATAATTGAAAATTATGCAAATCTATGATTTGAAAATATTAACATTCATAATTTGCTAATAATATGTAAAGTAACAATAAGGTATAGATGCTTAAAATCCTCTTTTAAGATTAATTTCATTATTTGATCAATAGGTTAGTCAAAAGCATAGAGGTCAATATGTTTTGCTATTAATTGATAATTGTACAAGTCATATGTTAGGAATTTTAGATCTTTTAAATGTTAATATTTACTTTTTATCACTAAATATAACTTTAAAGATTCAACTAATAGGTATCAGAATAATTATGACTTTCATCAAATACTATCATTATTATTATATTTAGTATGTGTAAATTAGCATTTATTTAGTTTTAGTTAGATAATATTTAATTAAGTATATTTATAATATTTATTTGATAGAATTGAAGCATTTAATTAATATAATCTAGTGTAAAAAGATTGATACATCAATTTATTCATAGTAAAAAAATAAAATTTTAAATTTAATATTAAAATTTAAATATTTTTATTTATTATATAGGTTTTAAAAAATATTTTAATATAAATTTTATTAAAATATAAAATTTTTATAAAAAATTTTATTAATTATCAATTTTTTCAATTTCAGAATCCTCATAATCACTTTTAGCCAATAATATTTTATCACCTAATTCTTTATATTTTATGGCTTTTTCAAGTGCTTCTTTTCCAAAATCTAATAATAACTTTAGTGGTAACCTTTTCATTAAAGATATGCAACAATTTGTCTCTATTAGCTAAAAGATTCGAGTGAGGACTGAATATAGCAACCTCTCCTTTAACAGTTGACCAAACTCCTTCGATTAGTTGGAGTTTACAATGATAAGGTAGAGTATAAAACAAATTATGTTCATATTTTCTAGAAATTTTAACACACATAAAAGGTATATTTGCTTTATTTTATTTACTAACTCATATAATTCTGCTTTGCTAGAGTTTTTTGAAATATTAACACTAGCTGAAGTTAACCAAGCAATTAATGCATCTTTTCTTGAATTTGATGTTAGCACTTGTTCAACTCAACATTTATGATAATAAGCACTATATATATGAATATTTACTGGCCTATAACGTTTCTTAATATTAACACAGAGTTTATCAAAAAGATCTTCAAAAATTTCAGCTGTAAAATTACTATGATAATCAATATGATCTGCTGCAATATTAGAATTTCAAATAACTTCAGAAATATTATTCTAAGCATCAGCATTTGTCTGTTTTCTTCCTTTTGATGAAGGTAGTTTTATTAACAGAATCTAAATAAGAAGAGAATTAGAAATAACTTTACCATAAAGTTTATTAGTATTACCATTATATATTACAATTATTATTCTAAAATAATAATTAAAGAATCACATTCTGGTAAATATACTACTCCATAACTTGGCACCCAAGTACAGTTTGTAGTATAATACAAATGATAATAAGATTCATCTAAAAAAACTTCTAACCTAGTTGAAACTTTGTTTCTTCCTTGTAAATTTTCAAAATAATGTCGTAAATAACAGTTATAAAAGGTAACAATTACTGGCAATTTATGCAATATGTTTTGATATTTATCACGATCATAATAATATTCTAGTGTATAAAGTAAATAAAATAACTGCTTTAATAATTTATGACTATTTTCTTTAAGCATTTGTTATAATATTTATGTTGAAAGTAGAGTATTAAAAGTGTTTACAGATATAATAAAACTTTGTAAAAGTTCAGGAACGTTATGATCAAACTTATTTTTTGGCTGACCTATATTTTTTTTATGTTTAAATTTCTCCATTTTTATTATTTTATTCAGCAATCACACGCAC